ATTTACATTATTTTTAAACTTACTTTTATATATAAAATGTTCAAGTTCTCATGATTTTTTTAGTTCTTAAGATGTGTATTGTGATGATACAAACTTCTATTTTTTAAATAAGAATTCCTCATTATATTAAAAATATATTTTTAAGAATCTGAAAGTAGTTTTTCAGTTATTAAAATGTTCAAACTAAGTCACTAAGGATAATAGATCAAATGACTTAAAAAAAAATATGTAGTATTGGAAATATTATTTGTTATACTTAGACTATTTTTACAAATTATAAATATTGGAATATTTATAACTAACAATTTCAAATCATTATTGTCGTCCCATATTTTTTAAACACGTTATCGCATGGATCCATTATCCTTAGTACTCTAAGTCAATTAATTTGAATACTTCAACATTTTTAAAAAATTTATCCATCACATAATAGTGAATTTTCATTTAAAAAACAGAATGTTTATAATATTTTCCTTTATACTCCATTGTTTTTTTTTTTTTTTTCATTTTTTCCAGTAATGTTGGTTTTAATTTATCAGCTGGTGTAACCACCAAACTTAATGTGTTTTTGATATTCACCGACACGTATATTTTACTATAAACGTCATCGTTCCGGTATTGTTTTCCGGACACACTCTGATGTCCGCCGTTGTAGTCTGATGCGACCCCGCAAAGCGTGTGTAAAAATAATTTTCCATATGGTCCTACCGGGTGGGTATTGTCAACTCTCAAAATGATTCCTCGTTCTTTCCAATAATATTATGTGAAAAACCAGCTACTATTGCAATTCGTTGTGACGATTTTTAATTGTTGAATCATCGTTGTCGCGTTTCCTATTTGCAATAATCTCGTTCAAAGTCCCATCACTATATATTAGCTTCAAACACAATTATTCAGCAAGACATCAAATTACGTTGAGCGTTCGGTAATTTAATTCGAAACTAAATCGTCTGTATAATAACAAGTATTACTGCGAAGTAAGAGGTGTCCGTTGATATTTTAAGGTCGCGTGATTTCGACAAAATAGTTATTTAAATAAGTCGTATTAAATTCGTTAAAAACGTATTGAATTGTCAACATTTTGTCGTACTACCGCAGTGGGTATACGGCAACAACTTTTCGCGTCGACCATCCCATATAATCATTAATTTGATTCGTTATAAATATTTTTACGTGTATAATATGTGCTTTACACTGCAAATAAGCCTCTATAATAATTTATGATTCGCGTCCTCGCCACAACTAATTATTGTGAAAATCACGTCAAACACAGCGTACGGGTGGAGTGTGATGAATTATATATTAGGTATCATAAATTCTTAAATAACATATTCTATAAAATCCGGGTTCTTAATAAACAAATCGTTTTATCATAATATATGTGTGAGAAAGATACCTACGCATGAAATATTGCAAGATTTCGCTATGATTCATTGTTTTTAAAAATTTGGATTTTCGATCGTTAATTTTGGAAATTGTCTCAGTTCATTACGCACAATACGTACAGTAATAAAGACTCAACGTCGGAAAAGTGTACCCACACGTTGGTGTTGATTCTTTAATTAATTTCGTATTGTTCTAGTGTTGGTTTGTTTTTGAGACACACGTTATTCACTGCAAATAAATCTTAAGAGATGCTGATCGCTTATACAATAAATAACCACCGTAGGTCTTGAAGTAAGAACCACATCGTCGATTCAATATTATATTTGAACGCATGTAGTATATTAAAATGTAATAATAGGTACGTCGTTCTTCTAAAGAAGCCGCTTTTGTAAACGGATTCGTCAGACACATTATCGTTATAGCGGATAACGTAATAGATACATTATTGTAATGTGTCTTTTTTGTATTTTTTGCATGGAATGAATAATTTTGTTTTCTGATGTTTCATATCATTATATATACAGGTACCTGCCACACTATTGTTAACACGCACAAGATAATATATCTATAATACATTTATAATACAACTACCCGAACCATTATCATTGTAATATATTTACACTGCCGTTAACGTGTATAATAATAGCAATAATAATGAATACAAACATAATATCTCCTTTTCAAAATTGAATAACACAGTTACGTCGTGTTAATAAATCACCCCATGTTCAGTCTAAAAAAAAATTATGCGTTAACTAGCTACACACTTACAGTAGATACTATGTTCGAATCTCAATGTTCACGTACTAAACGCGCTCAATTAATATTAAATTATCAGTAAAAACAAAATTATAAACAAAAACGAATAGAATATTTTTTTTATTTCAAAAAGCACAATTATATTATAATAAATAAAGATTTACCATCTCGTTAATCTCAACACCAAAAAAAAATATATATACGTCAAAAAATGAAATAAATATTGGTATTCCAGATTATAGGATCAAACTCGGTATTTTAATTTACAATACTGACCGTTACTATTGATTGTATTATTTTATATTCACTCCTTCATTCTTATTGCCTTCGATTTTCGTTATTCAATTTATAATTTATATATAAAATATTATTATTATGTATTATATGATGTCTCATAAGTTTTGTATTGATCCCCTTCTTCTAACCCCTCTCCCATAAACAAAAAAAAAATGAAATAATAAAAGAAGTGATCGAAAAACTTTTGAAAATAACACTACTGTTATATACATTCGAGAAAAAAGTAAGAAGGTATAAAATAAAAAATGTATTATAAAAATATATTACCCCATGATGAATAATAATTTATGAACGTCGTCTTTGTGTAATAACAATAATTAAAACTTTTATTTTACAATTCTTTATATAGTTCTAAAAACCGACTAAAAATTAAAACTATTCATAATTCAACAAATAAAAAACTAGCGGTAAATTCAGGATGCAAAGATTGGAGGTTGAGAACACGTATTGCTCTTATGACATCGGTTTAATAGAAAATAAAGTGTATAATATGTTTAGTATATATTTTAAATAAATTATGATAATTATTAACAATGATTCGCATTGCATTTAACTTCCATTCAGCTCGGATATTGGTTAAGAGCGTTAAGATCTCATTTATATTCAATGTTTTTCACCAATCTTCAATAATTTTTTCGTAAAACTTTTGTTATGCTCCAGAAAATTATTAAAAAAATGTGGACATCTTGAAAATTACAAAGAGACTTAATTTCAAATTAATAAAAAAGATTAGTTGGATCTTTTGAAACATTCCTTGAACTCTATCAATTCAGAAAAAAATCACTTCGTTCGACGTATAAAATTTCAGATATTGTAGAACTCGAAAAATAAATAATGATAATATCAACACTTTTAAAAAGTGATGAAAATAAAATTCAATTTTAGTTTATAGAATATCCCAAACGTAAATCTATTTTTTTGGCTTATAGCTAAGGGCAAAGACATAGAAGTTATAGAATTTTTATGTGTTTTAATCTGATTTTTAAATAACCGAAATGCATATCGTTCTCTTGTGAATTCAAATACAATTACCTATTTGCATGTTTCGATTATTTTTCACCTTCCAATAAAATTGTATAAATTGACATACAGATATTATATATTTTTCTAACATATTTTTACCACTAAAAATCATATTTTGTATAATATTATTATCGTTACAACCTATATGCAGCTAAAATTAAATTCCCATAAAATACATCCATAGTTACTAATATAAATGTATTTCACTATACTAGTTCAATTAATTATGATGCATATTCTTTTATTTATTTATTTTTTTTTTTTTTTTTTATCAAAATTCTTTCTTACGCCATCTATTTCAATTATGAACAATAAACTTAATTGATAAAATAATAAAATAGAAATAGAAGAGTCAAGAGTTTTTCCAATTACGGTACTTTATCGTGAAATATTAGTTATAAATTTATAATATATCATTAATACGAATAATGATAATTAGTGATTAGATCATTATTATTTAATAATAATGAGTTATGACTTATGTTAGATACTATTAGTGATCTACATAATGCATATTTTAATGAATTTTTTTTTTTTTTAATTTGAATAAATTAATTAATCTGTTCTAAGACTATTTATATCATATACATTTTGGATCATTATAAATAGCTACACATTTTTTTGCGCTTATGTTTTAAATTTTGAAATAGAAATATTCTGAGTGGTGCCATTGATATTGACCAATGTTTTAAAGTTTTGACAGCGCGACAGAGTATAATAGACAAAAGGTAGAGGTAAAAAATAATATGTTGTGCCATGAACTGCTACGGCTAAACATAAATTACAAAAACTTTTACAGATAACGTCTGATTCTTTCCAAACTGATTATTTTATATATAATATACACATAAATAAATTATATTTTTTTCTTTTATATAAAAAAAAAAAATTATTAGATGTACAAAATAGCTTTAAGTATTTATTAATGTATAAACAATTTTAAAAACTCATATTGTAACATCATATTAATAAAATTAAAGTGTTTCCATTGAGGGGCTACTTTTCTCACATATCTCATGTCAAAATATATTTATATATATATTATATATATATATATATATATGCCTACAGGCTTATTCTAATAAATTAATCACAAATTTTTTTTTTTCAAATAAAATTTAAAAAATATATAATAGGTATTATATGAATTTTAAGGTTAATAATAACAACAAACTCTGAAAATTAATTAATTTAATAAAAAAACATATTGTCAAAAAACGAGTTTACATAGTGTTGAATAACATATTAAACGTTTTGATTTAAATACAACGAACTATAGATAAAATAAAATCGACTAAAATTTCAAATATTTTCATATTCTTGTAAAACTTGAATTCAAATAAATAAATGACTCTGATGTAGAACAGTTATTACAAAATCAACAAATCAATTATCAATTCTTTATCGAAATTTTAAATTTACAAATACTTAATAGTAATAACCATATAGTTTTTTTTTTTCAATATATTATATTTTAATCGTTTTTTGAAATCTAATCTGAATATAAATAATAACAAAACTCTTTATGATAATAGGCTCTTGATGAAGAACGTGTATTGGCAGCTTTACCAGATAAACTAAAAGCTGAAATAGCTATACACGTACATCTCGACACATTAAAGAAGGTCGAGATATTTCAGGACTGCGAACCTGGTCTGTTAGAAGAACTTGTGCTCAAGCTCAGACTCCAAGTGCGTACCACCTATACATACAACTTTTACATTACCATTTTGTTTTTGTAACTAATATCGTTTTTTTTTTCTTATCAAAATTAGGTGTTCAGCCCTGGAGATTACATATGCCGTAAAGGAGATGTGGGCAAAGAAATGTATATAGTAAAGAGAGGCATTCTTAGTGTCGTTGCCGATGACCAAAAAACTGAAATCGCCACTTTAAGCGCTGGAAGCGTTTTTGGAGAGGTCAGTAATAAAATAAATGGGTTTTTTAAGTGTCTATGGGTTCTGTACAATATAATATGTATTTGATCTATTTCGATTTGCCTTATATTAAAACTTCAATTTTGATCTTCGACGATTTATTGCTCATAAAAACTTCTATAAATTCAAAATATAAAGTTCATTTTTAATTAAGACTTAAATATTTATTAAATTAAAAAATTCCGAACTTAAAATTATAATTAGTTGTCATTTCCTTATATATGATAAGCTATATATTCAAGATCATAATTCATATTTTAAATATATTGGGTCATTAGTATAATGCTATATAAGATTATATATAATAATTAATTTTAGAGTATATAAAAAGAATATTTGAGTATCAGTATGAATTTATTTTTTGTATATGAAAAACTCAATTATTAAATAATTTATGTAAAAACACTAAAATGTAATATTATTATTTTATTATTTATAAATATAAAAAAAATAACTATAAAACTATGATAAAATTTAAAAAATTTGTAAAAAAACGTAATCAACACAATCTTCATAACATAGATCTATTTTTACATGTCAATCGAGCAATTTTAATTAGTTAATTAGATAAAAAAGAGTATTTTTTAATATTTCAGGATTGTCAAATCAATGCAATCAAATTTAACAATTATACGTCTTTGTGAGAGATATCACAATAACTTAAAATAATCAAGTAATTAAAATATTCTAAACATTTGTTACACATGCACAGATATTGTAAGAATTGTAAAATATTTGTAATAAAATATATTTCCATACTGACGGCACTTTTTGAAATATAAGTTTCATAATAGTAATATTTAATTTAATTTTTACAATAAAAACTTTTCATTTATACTTATAATAATACATAACCATTACTTGTTATTTTCTGTAATTGTTACGTAAAATATTAGCAATAAAATATTCTTAATTTTAAACTTTCAATCAAATTTTTAAGAAAAAATATGTTTGATCTCATTTGCTTTCATACCTAAAAAGTAATTTTGTTTGTTTTATATTAGCAATAAATAATACTACTAAAATCTTAACAATTGCTTCGATATTATTGAAAAAGCATAATATATTAAAGTAACAAGCTTTACGTGTATATTTCTGTGATTAATTTACTGTTCACTTAAATTTACTTGTACAACTGTAGTCAATATTAACTAACTAGGTTTCAAATGCAACAATATGTTTTCCGAATTGGGTACCTAACTATGTGATTTATCAAGTCCAACTTTATATTATGCAAAATTTGTATATACATAATATACATGTTATTTCTTGGCAAATATACACAAGGAAATATTTATATATTATACACACAAATGTATACATGCTTTATATACGCGTTTGAGTTTGGATATGTATTTATGAATGTATGTGCGTATATATGGCTGTAATTAGGAGAAACACAAATGGCACCAATTAAACATACCACCTTTTTGAATGTCTGTACGATTTCGCTTCAGAGTACCTGCATTTAAATATGCAAAATAATAAATTAAGTTGGTAAAAAAAGGGGATCTTTTTTATGTTATTTTCGGTAATTTTGTTTTAAAAATAAAATTTTTGTTTTTACCATTGCATAGCCATTACATCGACACGCCACGACGGTGTTTATTACAATCATTGTACAATGTGCTAATAAATATATGGTCTCTAAAAAATACAGTCATTCATAAAATCATTCAACTCATCACGTATATTATTTCAGGAACTTATTTTAAATGCATTAAGTTACACAATATTTTGTAAAAGAAATGCGTAAAAAACAATGAATGTGGATATTTTTATTTAATAAACCATTGAAATAGGTTTAAAAAAAAATAGGTTAAAAATATTACTAAAATTTACATTTTTAAATTTTATTGTAAGAAAAAATATATGAAAATATAAAAAAAGCATCAAATACAACACCAAGCAATGAAATATTATATGCAACTATTATTTTCAGTACTCGCCCAAAGAGTTATAATATTCAGTACCAATAACAGATACAATATCCGATATCATGGTTACCAACAACACACTAGACTAGTGATTCGTAATGTCAAAATCAAATCAGCATCGTTGCAACATTTTTAATGGATGCCCACCGGTCATGAAATCTTATACCATAGATTTTTCCTTATTTATTTTACCATAAAATTATAATGATACCCAAGGGTTTTTATTTAACAGTATACAACACAGTTTTATTGACTGTAAAACACTAATTTATTGTTGTTTAAAAGACAAACAAAAAAAAAAAAATTATTTATTTTATAATTTACATACAATTTCATAACTTCATTCAGAAGTAAAAAAAGTTCCGAAGCTTAAAACTGCTTGAAATTGTAGTTATAGAACTTGTTATAACCATGAATTATACAATTGTAAATTTGTATACATATCTAAATAATCAATATTAAATACATTTTGTAATCTTTTGAAATTTAGATAAACTACAGATATTATCGTCAAATAGAGGCTATAAATTTTAAATTTTGTATTATAAAATAAAATTCAAATATTATATTTTTTAAACATAGAGTAATTCTTAATTTTCGTCAAAAAAATCTTATTAAACATATTCAACATTTATTATTTTAAAATTATATTTAAATCTTTTCCAATGCTTCAAAAAATAAAAATAAAATTTATCAATTAATTTGTTTGCATAGCCTATAGACTATAAGTTTAATGATAACAAAAATATTAATGGTCATTACTAAAATAATATATTAAATGCATATCATTATTATTTATTTAGAAATATTATCTATACATTATAAGTATAATTAATGTTTATATATATATATATATATATATATATATTAAGCCAATCGATGTAATTTTAAGGATTAATATACTTCAATTATATTATTAAACAAATAAATCGTAAGCTTTAATAGTATAATAGCTCAATACAATTTTAATATAATAATATAAAATACATTTAATTTAAAATTTTTTTCGAGCCTATTATATATTATTTAATTTATATTATATTATATAATTTTATGCAAGTTCTTATCAAAATACTCTTTTTTTTTAGTATTAGTTTTAATTGAAAATTTTCGAATACAATTTTATCTTATTAATTGACTTAATAAGTAGTACGAGTATTTAAAATTTCCTCAGCCTTAAAAATGTATATTAAAATTAGATTAATGTTTAGTGTAGAAATATAAACTAATAAACTTGTAGTATAATAATAATAGTACATCAATAGTTAAGTATTTAGTAACTCTAAGAGGAATAAATAATGGCTTCTGATATAAGAAGATTAACTAAGCTTACAAATATTATACAATAAGATTTAAACACCAATATGAATTTAATAATGAATTATATTGAGTAAAACCCTAAATACATTTAATGATTAATGTATTTATTATTTTCTAATTTTATTTAAACTTAATAAATAACTTTTTTTTAATAAAATTCAAGTATCTAAGAAATAATATTATTTATTATACAACAAATTTTAATTATTTATAATTCGATTATTATTTATACAGTATATCTATCAAATAATTAAGCATAAAATCAAAATCTCACGAGATCAATTTGAATCCATGTTTAGTAATAAAACTTTTAGTCTACATATCATAATATTACGTGGGAATAATATTTTTTATTGCATACCTAAAACCAATTGATTACGTTTCATTTTTTCGTTATTTATTATAGGTAAGCGTACTAGAAATAGCTGGAAACAAAACAGGCAATCGTCGCACAGCCAACGTCCGGAGTTTAGGGTACTCTGATCTATTTTGTCTATCCAAAAGAGATCTCTGGGAAACACTGAGAGATTATCCCGAAGCTAGACACAGCTTAATGCAACGTGGTTGTCAACTTCTGCGAAAGGATAGGCTATTAGACGAGGACGCGTTCCTACAAGCTCAAACGCAGAATGAAACCATTAACGAAGCCGTGTCTAGATTAGGTATGTATATTAAATTTTTATTTAATTTCAATTAGACAGAGTTTGATCACCGTATTTTACCAAATACGTTTTCATAAAACAAATTAGAATGTGTGACAGTAAATTAACATTAAAAATAGTCGTCACAATTTTATTATCAAATGAAATAGTTTTTTTTTTAACCCCCTTCCCTTATTTGAAAAACTAAAATTTATTTCGAATTATTCCACACGAAACAATTTTTTCATAAATAATCATTATTTTAAAAACAAAAAAAATAATTATTAATTGTTATTATTAAAGATCTAATAATTTTCATAATACTGTACGAATCGTTCAGTAATTCGTTTTCTTTTGGTAATAACATTTTTAAGCTACATTGACTTCAACAATAATAACAATTTAATAAAGTGCTGTAATAGAGATATGACTGAAATGTTAAATGTCATAAACACTTTATATCATTTTGTATTTTCGTAGTATTAAATAGCATATATTGGTATCAAAAAAAAAAAAAATTTATCATATAAAAAATACATTCCTCATAAGTTTTATCGAATTCAATACTATTTATTTGAATTTATTCGGAAAATAATAAAAAAAACTCTTACGATTTTCTTTCAAATTTTCCAAAGGTTTAAATTTTTTATTTTAATAACATTCCCAACTAATTAAATTAGTCATAGTTATCATAATATTACTATATAACTTAAAACGTTGAAGAATAAATCAAAGTTGAAATAATTAAACTCAATGATTTAAGTGTAAAGATATTGTAAATTGGATTTAAAACAAATACATTTTAACTTTATGGTATAGATATAATACATATTATATACTATAAATATTACAAATATAAAAATGTTAACTATAAGCATGTATATTAAACGTATTATACTTATAAACTTAAGCAAATATTATATCATGTAATTTTTGAGAATTGTGAAATTTTACATCTTAATTTTATAAAAATTGCACTAGTTGAAAAATAAATAATGGAGTTGCAAGATTAAATTCCCATCAAATATCATCACATATAGTTGCATCTGATAAATGATGACAGCCCATAAAATGTGCAATAATTCTACACAAAAATGATTTACGACAGATATTCAATATCGATAATTTAATATAATTATAGACTATAGTATCTCGAGTATTCGTTTAAAATTGTAGTAAATAGTAACCAACCAAACTTAAATGTATAATAACTTACACATCCATTTAAATTTTAATCGATGATTTGTAAAGATTTTTTTATATTTTTAAATATTATCAAATATAACTATTAAATAAATTCACTAACAATTTTTAAGATACTCAATATTAAATAAAAGCCATTAAAACTCAAATGTTAATATTAAAGTATTTATTACTAAAATAACAAGTACCACATGCTTCTCAGATAAACTTTCTCTTGATCAATACAAATTTTGAATAGACGTGTACAATAAATTATGTGCAATACAAAGTTAGACTTAAAATAATAATATTATAACAAAATATCATTTAAATATCGATATCCTAAAATGCATAATCTGTAGTCATTTTGAAGGTAAAATAACCCAATTTTATCTCCATCCAAAATCATTTGATTATTAATTCATATAGTTAATGTTTTACATACTAATTAACACTTTTAACAGATAGTTACATTAATGTGGACTAAAAAGGGTGACGACCGAAAGACCGTTATTAAATGTTACAATATTATGTGTACACCTCACCACTTCGGTATAATTAATTTTCCAGCATGTTACAATATTGTAATATTATGTTTGAATGATTATAAACCTTTTGTTATTTTTTTTTCTAATATTATTATTATTAGTTTCAGTTGTTCTAAATTAGTTTTATAATTTTAAGTTCTCCGAGGCAATTTACATCTTTTATGTTAATTTTTTTTTTTCTCATAATTTTCTATTTTATCCAATCGACATAATTATTATTATTATATTTGAGTTTGCCTTAACCTTACTATATCAATCCATCGTAAACATGCAATTTATTTATAACAACTGCGTATATTTTATAATTATGTATATATAATATGTAGACTGTAACCATTTCGTGTCCCCAAACCGAGGCGTGGAAGGATATATTAGATTAGCCAACAGCAGGGACGACTTCGGACAGCCAACTGCGCAACAGTCTAACCGCAAGAAGTTGAAGCAAAGGTCAAAATTCTCGGCGGTCGTTATCAAACCTAACAGGAAACAATTCACGCAAGTTTGTACGTCACCAATACGAGCGGGTGACGGACACTTGCTATGAGTGCATGTTGAGAAAACGTTATACCCGCGTGTGATATGGCTTGTATCCTTCACAAGACATTGCAAATTTTACCTTCAGAACATTCGTTTAATTCTGTCATTTTTTTTTATATCAGAATGAATTAATTTATTATCTCATTTAAAGATGAGAATATTATCTGAGACCATGCTTAGGTCTTTTTTTATTAATTTCTTAATTCAGTTATAAGCATTTTAAAATTATAATTTTTCGTAAAATTTTAAATGCTTAAAAAATTAATTGATTATTATTATTATTATTATTATTCACTGAATGTAAAATTTGACAAAACAACAACAACACGTATGGGTATAACGTCATCTTAACAGTACGATGAAATTACGTTCCTCAACATTTACGCCTTACAATCGGGACGAATCGATCTGCCACTATTTGCAATGGCCGTGGTGATTAATTCTCGCGAAAAGCTTCCTGTATATCGTAACGAAAAATCTGGGTGAAGGTTACTGTAGTTGTTTTTGTTGTTGTGGTGATACTGTACGATATAATGGCCTATTCGATTGTGTATAATATAATATTATGATAAACATTATCCTGTACAATATCCTGTACCAATAATATAATATGTTAGATTCACCAAGAATGCTCACCACAATATTCTCCTTCAATTATAAGTTTATTCAAGTTTTGATTTTTCGAATTTATAGATATATTTGAAAACCAAATAATATTTTACTTACATTTGATAATGAGTATCCTATGACAAACTTCTTAGAAATTTAACACACACACACACACTCGAACATGAACTAAATATGACATATGGTAAACATGGCTATAAGTGTATATAAAGTATTATAAATACACGTAACATATTTATTCTATTACTCATTAAGTTCTATCAATTTTTACAAATAATAAAATGCAAAGAGACTAACATTGACTGCCTAACTAGTGATTATATTCAAATCATTATATCCTCTACATCTTCTGAACTTTAAGTCATAAACTATTATATGATTATTCTTAGTATAGGTAAGTACACTAGGTAATATTTAAAATTTAAAAAAGGGCAATTTGAAATAATATTCACAAAAAAGGGATGACCATATTTGGCGAATCGCTATTGCCACACCGGACAATTTTTATATACTGAGTTTATCCGTTAACCCCATCTTAAGTATTAGACGATATACATAAAATGACAGATATAGGTAGTTGAGACGACGAAAATTGGTGGTAGCGGTGATGGCAACAGATATCTTTTATTATTATATAAGATACATAATATAGGAACAGTTGACGCCCAGCTACACACATCACCTCATTTTTCGTTTTTGTAATGGATCCAAAAACAAACGACGAACAAAAAATGAAAAAAAAAATGAAAGTATTTGAAAGAATACTTAAACCCATCCGTAAGGACAACAGCAACAATAATAATAATAATAATAATGCACGCGCGAAGTTCTAACGCTTCCTGCTCGCGCGCTATGATATCGCTGCAGCATGCTGTATCCGCTGAATATATTATAAAGGCCTATCTACTCGTACAATTAATACTGTATTATATTATGTTATATTATTATTTTATGCATATATATATATATATATTTAATGTGATTTGACAAATAAACACAATATAATTATAATATTTATGACTTAACAGCCGTATGATAATAATATAATGATTATTCGCGTAGCACGATAATAATATCTTTATAATACGTGTAATTGTTTAACAATATAATATGCTAATAAACGTATTCAATTAATACTAACGTGATCAATAGTAATAAGTCTATTAATATATTATGTATATTTAATATTATATTTTGTACCTATACTAATTTAACATAATATTGTTGTACACTAATCGTATTCGTGTCCAACTAATATTACATGCTTATCGTCTCTTTTGTGTGCGATGACATTTTCTGAATGTTGAAATATTCTTTTGCATATTTTCAGATACAACTATGAAAGATGTAACTACTCGGTTGTCAAATCTTGTGACCGAATATTACAACCAAAACGTCAAGCTCAATGAAAAAATTACCGAATTGGAGGAACAAATACGAGTTGTCAAATATCATTCAATGTAAATATTTTGAAATATTAAATTCCGGTATATGTGTCAGGTTAATTTTTTAACTACAACAATTAACTAAATAATAAGAGAAACAAACGTAATTACATGCATAAAACTTCGAATATACATTTTCAAAGCATCCGGTACACAAAATGTAATAGGGATATTGATAATTGAAAAACTTTTTTATTTAAGTATATTGAAAAACGTAACTTTTAAATGTATTAAGTTATATTATTTATATTCCTTTCAAAATATTTTCCAAGACATTTTATAATTATTACATGGATGAATCAAAAGGGTGTTTAACCTATATATCTAGCTCAGAACACTTTTCGGTTGACTTATAGGTAATACACGAATATTAAGTGTTTTACATTGGTCTTGTGGTAGTTTTTGTTTTAAAGATATTTAGATATTACAATATACTCATTTTAAGGAACGTTAAAGTCTATAACATCTAAAAATTTATTATTTTCAACTCTATATGGAGAAAATTACAAATCCCTAAATTTCCCATATAATATATATATATATATATATATATATATATATATATATATGTATTTATGTATATTATATTGGTATACATATTTGGTTTTATTTCGAGATATCTACCTTGAAGCAATATTTTTAGGTTTTCTTTTCTTTTCTTTGGATAAGCAATTTAATTTAATTGACGTCTAGAAAAAAATACATTTTGATCAATAAAAATATCGATCGATGTACGATGCTTAATCTTTTCAAACAACAAACAACAATTGCTTTCAGGAAAATTCTCATCATGATAATTTATACAACTCTGTCGTATAGTCGTATTTGGAAATTTGTTTAGAAATAAATAGCATTCTGCGATACGCCATTATCTATTGTAATATTTGTCCTTTTTAGCGCCTCCTTTTGTCTAAATTATATTAGATAAACAATATATTTTATGCTTAAAATCTCTGTCTCGCCCTACGAACATCAAATAAATAATGATAAATGGTACAGTGGGCTGGTCTATGTCAAAGAAAGAAAAAATATATAATATAACGGGATTGTGAGATAATTTACGTTCTTCCGTCCCACGTATTCTTCCACTGCAAAAAGTTTTATTCGCTTTTTTTGCATTTATGCATTTAAAGTATTACATTTAAAAAAATATATTTATACCAAATGTCATTATACTGTAAGTGAATGTTATTAAATGATAGACAGATTTCTCCGCAAATCAGGACATATGTTTACAGTTACTTGGATGTTTTTAGTGGCGAAGGTGGAATATAATTGCGGTATTATAGTTAAATACGATTTCAAGCGAAAATATTTGCATTCAATTTTATAAATTATAAATAGGTGTACAGCAATATTCATAAAATTATATGCACAAATTTAACTAGTGAATTTAAGTTTCAAGGTAATAATAAATCTTTCTAAGTTTAATTTGCCAAAACAATATTAAAATTTGGATTTCTTATATTATTTCTCTAGATTTTGATATTTTTTGTGTTTTTATCAAAAACATTTGACATATTCAATTTTTTTTTTTTTTGTTTATGAAATCACACGCTATAACATAGAATATTATAAAATACATCGAGTTAGGTTTATTACACGCGAACACATTTTATTTATCTTACTATGGGAAGTCTAAATAATTTTGAATACAATTTTTATTATTTTTTTTTTGTTCCGTTGCACAAATTCCAAAATATTTTTTTACTAATTTGATAACTAATTTAATTTTTGAGAAAATGTCAAAATTACCTACTGTTAGTTCTATTAAAGTTACCAAAATATGTTAAGCCATTAAATTTGCATATATTATGTATTTTGAACACTTTTAGTGATATAGTAATTAATGATTACTAAATAGTAATAATGACTAAATTATACGGTAAAAAGTAGAAACTAAATAACGATTTCGAATATCTTATTCTTATATTTAATGAATATCAAAATTAGAAATATTTTACTTGCTCTCGCGTATTAAATATATATATTAGTAAAATTGTATTGACAATAATTAATTACATTTTAAATAGTTTTTATTAATAATAATGTAACATATAATAAGAAAATCTCAAACATCTAAGTATTATGTGGTGCATTTCATTATTTACTGATATTTTCGAACATTAAATAAAATACTATTTTACGTTGTAATTATAATCTATATTACGATTGGCAGTGTATTATTAATATTTTAATTATTTTTTTGATTTTTCTGCGTAATTTAAAAAAATATTTTAACTTATCTACTTAAAATCTTCAGAAAACGTAGAAACAATTGTTTTTTTTTCAACTTAAATAAGTATTTATATTTCAATGTCTTTTTATTTTTTAGAACTGATTCAAAATACGGGGATCAACAGGGTTCGAATGTTGAAAATGACTCAACTTCATCATCTAACCAATCAACGGTATTTGGAACTTATGCCACAAGAAGATCGTTTAACGTTCCCAAGAATTCTTGGGCTCGAAGACGTCGTAAACTTAAGTCTACCTGATGTTTAACGGATAGGCTATCTCATTTACAGGATCCATATGCCTCGGCTTAATATAAACCACGGTGATTAGTGTATATATTCTTAATATTAGATAGTTCAAAAAATCAACTGTCAAAATTAAAGTGAATTCTATACACATGGTTTATATTACATGGATCAGTGTAGGCAAATATTTTTAGGATAGTCTACTGAAATGTACATATACAAATATCTTGTATAAAACAAAAAGTGTACTCCACAACACATCAATTTTTTATTATAATTTACGTATAAACGATTTCTTTTTTTGGAAGAATCAAAATACTTCAAAACTATCTAGTTCCATGATATTATCCTAAGCTAAATAAGAGCTTAATATTGATATAAAAAATATTGTAAAATTTCCTATAAGAAAAATTTACTTATTGTCTACATTGTTTGGTTTTTTTAATAATTTAACTTAGTTCATGATATAATTCCATGTAAAATAAAATAATCCAGTTAAAATATTCCCATGATGTATTGAATATACATTTTTTAAATACCAAAATAACCATAAGTAATTGTATCACGTTTTTGTGTTCATTTGGTTTGTAAAAAGTAATATAATAAAATTAATATTTTAACTTTTATAACACCCAATACGATTAAAAATTAAATTAAACCGTAGTTTAATGATTAGGCATAGTATTTTGTTACACGAGAATCTTATGATATTAGATTCTGATTTATATAGATTTATTTTTGTTGAAAATTCAGTATTCTAAATTTGGGTACAAACATGAAACAAATGCTTAACACATTTAGTTTAATGTGATAGGAAATATCTACTAAGATCGTAATAGAATATAAATTCAATTTAATTTACTTAGTAACCAAATACTTATTCACATACGTTTTATTGTACATACCACAATAAAAATACGATAAATGTTATTTGAATCGAGTGACGCACCTTACTGCAGTTGAGTCTCTTGGATCAAAATTTACATCTAATTTGGTTTAAAAAATATCCTAAATGAGCTTAAAATTAAAAAAAATAAAAATATTTTCCTTCTTAAATTACAGACTTAGGGATGTCAAAACATAATATGTCAAAAAAATTATATTTGAAATATCTATTTCTGAGAAGTTTAACTCAATAACTAGGAAAATTATTAAACGAAATTTAGTCATAATATAATTTCAAACCTGTGACTGAACTGCACAAATAACTCCCGAATTGAGTGCTATTCCTTGGGAATTCTGTACATGCATCAACTGTAGGTTTGTTTCTTCATTGAAATCTTTTATCAGACAAACAAATTATTCACATCAAATAAGAAACACGAAATACGAAGACGATGATAAAAAACGTATTTAGAAAAATATCCAAGAACTGAAAAAAATGATTCCATATAAATTAAGTATTAAATACTTTCACATATTTTTTTATTACGATAGTTTGACCAAATATTTGTTAAATGGTTCAGCACTCAGTTGCAGCTTTACGAAAATTTCACAACAGTTATTCCACAAAATAACTACAATTATCTATCTATGAAATTGAATATTTATATAATGGTATTCCCTCTCTTAGTATAAGTTTAAGATTCATTGTATATAAACATTTAATCATCAATTATTAACAAGATTCGTTAATTTAATCTAAAACGCAAAATTTCTTTGAATAATTACTACAAACTTCAACACTGTTCTTATAAAATCTTTTAATTAAATAATATTATACAAAATATTATCCGCAATTATTTGAATGTATATTGAATAAAACTATCATCCAACAAGGTAGATAGACATAGTATCTACTTTTATGGATCGTAGAGTACGTTTTAAGATGTATTTTACTATTTTAATAATTTCTAAATTATTTATTGAAATATTAATTTATAATTTTTGTTTGCTATTTCAATTATGATTTTGCATCCACTAATACCAACCCCCAATCACAGTTATTGAATCGTTTAATGGAAATAGAACGCATGTAAATAAACGTAACTCTCGTGATGTTTCTCTAGTATACAATCGAAATAACTGTAGTTAAGATTAATTAATTAGTTTAATTCATACGGTTTAATGAGTAATGTGATATTATTATATTTCTAAACACAATATGAAAATAAAATAATAAAATCGACAGCAAAATTATTATTTCAAATATCACAGCGAATATACGAACATATTTTTATAACCGTTTGCACTTCGGATTAAGTTTGCCATTCGGTGTTTAGTTGATGCAGGACACTCAGTTACTTTAGATCATTTTCTCTCGCTGTATAGTATTATCGTATTATTTATAAAATCAATAAATTATACTTAAGCATCGGTCTACATATGCAGTGGTGTGCGACATGAGATAGGGTTACAACGATCATCCCCCAAAATTTTAGACGCCCTGTATTTCTCTTTTAGTTGAAACAGATCAATTCACGAGATTTGATCAGTCTTTAGGAAAAACAAATTTTAGTTTAAAAACCTTGTTAGAGACAAACAAAAAAACAATAAAAATAATTAAACCCTGCATATTATGATACTGCAGAGTATAACTAAGATAAAAAAAAAACCTATGCAAAGCTCAAAAAACAAAATTACAAACTATTTACAAAACTAGTTTGTAAGACATACGTTCATTGTTGATTTGTCAAATCTGTATATCTATATGTTATAAGTACCTATTATTTTTTTATGCTACACTGAACACGTGTAGTTTGTGTTAACGATATTACCTTATTGTTATGTAGTCATTTGTAATTTGTATAATTATATAAGCGAATCCGCTTAAATTTATACAAAGTTATAAATTTTATAATGTTATAAATAATATTATATAGTTTTAAAAGAGTTCTTACTGTTATTAAAGTTATTGTCTTATTGATATTATTAACATGTACCTATAGATACGAAATTGCAAAGAGTACGACAAAAATATACATAATATATATATATATATATTTTTTTTTGTACATACATTGTTTGATGTTTGTTATATACTTATATAATATACATAGCATAATATTGTGCTATGTGTTTTACATCGAATGAAATTACGAAATTATATTTAAGTTTTTTACCATACAAAATTAGCTTTAGAAAAGATTCTGTTATTAAAATAAAAAACCCATGCGGACAATATTGTATATTATACACCTACATGGATTTAATAGGAAACACATTTTAAATTGTATTATTATCATAATATAATATATAATATTATACACCCATATTTTATTATGCATTTTACAATTTTGTACATGTGCACCGTAAATTTACATGCATACAATATTTAAGTATAAATTACATATAGGTAGCCAAGTAGGTATGTACATAATATTAAATATGTATATTGTGTTTTTAACAGTGTTTAAATTTCGGTGACTGCTGCACGGTAAAATTTAATTGATTTATATGATATTTAATATAACGATGTACAAATATATCGATTCGCGTCTACAGTTCAATTAGTATTATATAATAATCCGTTGGCTATGCATATATTAGTTTGTGCAACATAAACCTTAAACCATAAGGTTATATAATAAATAAATAATAATAATAATATGCCACGAGTCACCAGTGGTATATAATTATATATTATGGTATAAATAATAAATATATTATCAAAAGTTTTGAAAATTTGAGTAAACTAATTCGTTTAAATCATTTATATTGATCATTTCTTATAAAATAATGAGGATAATATTATTATATTCACAAAAAAATCTTGCCGTGGTGATTGTGACAATGTTTTATGCCAATCCATAATTTATATTGTACATAGGTATAGGTATAAATGTATAATACGTAGGTGCATAGTGCATAATAAATAGTACTTACCATTTACCATACACTTATATATTATGAACAATATATACAAATTAAATATTTATACACTTTAATATGCAATTGTATATTATATATTATTAAGAATATAAGGTACATTATTACATATTATAAAGAAACTAAAAATAAGACTTACCCACCTATTACAATTTATAGACAAAACCGTACTCAGAACAAATTTTTGGCAAAAAACTATAAAATATTTCAAATATATTAATTTTTTTTTTCCGATCAAATATTAAATAACTGCCTCGATAATACAATATATACTAAATACTTACATAGTTATAAACTAACTACTTGACTCGCAATGTATAAATAATCATAAATTTATCTGTGAAAAAAATGCTATTTATAAGTTTTCATACAAAACTATAAACGCGTGTATAGATAGGCGTCTTTACAATTAATTAGCTGCCATGTACAATTTCTTAGCGACGATAGATTTTTAATACAATTAAAAGGATTTTATAAAGCCAATAATATGCTTCTCTGTCAGCGTCTTGAATTTTTTCCAAATTAAGTATCGTGAAATTTAAAACTTTCTAGATGAAAAGTTAGGCGAGCGTGAAAAAATAAGAACTATTGACAACGAACTTTGCAGACTTTGTTGATTATATTTGAATCGACTGCTCAATATAAGACGACCCTTAAGCTAAATACGTAGGTGCATCACAATCGAGCTAATGCAGATATAGATGAGACAGATTGGTTTTACATACTACGGTTTAACAGTATGTACAATAAAATATTAAAATAAATATAATAAATAATTTGATTCCGCATAATAATAAGTATATGTATTTTATACTAACTATGTGTTTATATCATACTTCATAGGTACATTATTAAGGTTCAGATTTGAAAGCAAAATCCTTTTTTTTAATAATAATAATAGAAAAATAATTTTTATATAAAAATACGTATATATTAACGTAAATCAAAAAAAAAATAAAAAAATTCAGATTATTTTTAAGTTAAAAAGAATCAAAATATTTTTAAAATTAAATTTATTCAGAAAATGCTAATATGTATAATAGCTAAAAATTACTTTGAATAAAATCGACTTTGTCGAAAACGCTTTTAGCGTAACAATCACAATTTTCGTTATTTTCTTTGATCCAATTTATTACCAAAAACTACTTTCGAAGTTAAAAATTGAAGAATTATTTCTACTATAGTATGTTCAGGTTTACAGGTATAAAAAAATACCTCGTTGTAAAATCCATATATTCATCGCTACGCTCAGAATCTAATATTGTAATAATTTGTTAATTTTTTTTACGGAAATTCATTTCCGAAAACTATATCCCGTCATTCAGATGAATCATGTGGATCTTTTTTCGTGGCACATATACATTCGTATATTATGAAAAACTGAAAAATCATCAAGAATACGTAGGTGTTTATTTGATCATGTGAAAACTCGTATGGAAACCGCGAATTCCGTTCGCAGACTAGATTTTTATAAATTCAAAAATAGATCCCGGTTGTATTGTGTCATTGTGTGCGTTAATAGGTACCTGCT